TCCTTAGATGCTACATTGACAAGACGGGGTAAGAGAACATGCATAGGTCCAAAAATGTAACTTAATCGCTCCGGTAGTTAGATAGGCAGCATTGGGTAACACCCGAGAGTAGCCTGCTCACGCTGAGAGCTATGTACCAGTCGGCGGTCAAGACTGCATCTGCTCACCAGTGGCAGTAGCCGTCGGACACGTGCTGTGACCAGCGCTGTCGAGGGAGACAAATATATCTATGCATTCATGTCAGGCTTATGGACGTGAGATGCGAGAACAGAAGGGGGTCTGGGCTCTGAAAATTTGTACCTTCGTGAAGGATATGAAGCTTTCCGGCTAGAGTTCTCGTACTTCTTTCCCCAGCCGTTACAGTTGCTCTGACTCGCTCCGGTGTGCATCTGCGAGCTCATACTTGATCTACCTACCATATATTTACCGTAAGGGATAAGATGTGGACGACTCCCAAAGAAAGCGCTGGGTGAACAGGATGGTGTTGCGCCACGTTGAAGGTCAAGAAAACGCGCTAGCTGTCAGTACACCAATTGGCCCGAGTCGGCAGCCTAGGTTCAAGGGCCCGGCTATGAATCGGCAGAGGCAAGGCGAGAGGTGGTTATAAGACCGCTGGTTCCGTCACCCAACGATGATAAGATCGCACTCAGGCGCGACGAAGGGTGTGGCAAACATGACTCGGCGTGTTGAAGCGAGTGGTGGAGCATTCACGTTCAGGAGACGGTGGACTTGAAAAATACTGGAAATTTTCACAGTACCCGACCTCAGAAGGATAAAATCCGGCTTTCTGGACGTCGAGGAAGTGGGCACTGCGCGGGGAGAACTAGCGAGGTCAGATATGTGAGAGCCACGCTTGCATCACACCTTTTATTTGGGTGTATTTACTCAGCGGGTGCGTGACTGCCATTCCCGAAGATACCAGTTCCTCGCTCGTTCTCTTAAGCTTGTTCCTCAAGGCATCGTCAACGTGCACTACCTCCCTTGCACACACCCCATCTCCTATGCTCCTTCAAGGCTACAATTCCGTCGATTTATCACAGCAGATAGTCGACCTTGCCGCTGCCATCCTTGTTTTTCGACACGACCTGTTCAATGGGTCACATCTTGCTGGAGGTTCGGTCTTTCCCGGCTTCCCATAGTGGCCGGGAGCTTGTAAACGCATTTTTGTACACGTACTCTGCCTTCGTGTCGAGTTCACGTGTCAAATGCAGGCTCCTGGTTCACTGTAGGCCGAGCACATGATTGATAAACTTCAAGAGATGTTCTCCTGTTCTGCTTGACTATTCAACGGATCTTTCGAACCCGAGCTGTTCTTGATGATACACACATTATTCTAGGGTTCGGACTCGAGAAGTGATTTGATGCATCGTCGATAACTCGACATCGTCCATCCGTTTCCGGGAGCAAAATACGACATTCTTGAAAGCGATGATCATCCTTATACCCGCTTTGGCTGAGTGGCATTCCTGACTAGCATTTTTTCTAGAGAACGTACCACTAATTCCATGATGCGAACTGATCATGCAAGACTGCTTCTAATCATGTTGGGCTGTTCAGCAATACAGCGACGAGCGCATCGGCCCATGTAGTAGCCGGCCGGGGAAGCCGAAGCTGTTTTAACCGGTCAGGCGAATCCTTACCATCGGAACAATTTCTGTCTGCAGACTAGACGCTAGGCAATCCCGCTTGCCTCGGGGTTAATTATGACTTCCGTCTTCTCAGCAGTCCCCCTCGCGATTTGTATAATTCTCATCTTCAAAGATTTCTGTAATTTGACGTGGACTACAGCTTAAGAGTATAGCCCAATCTCGGTTCTATTCAACTCCGACCTCAATCTCGCCGCTTGTCGAACTGCCGAGTATCTTTACAGCTATTACTACACTTCTAAATTATTCGCCCATATTTTCACGAGTACATCGCCACTTCCAGCGGCTTTTTATTGCTTCTATTTCGTCCAGCTAAGGCGGTCTACGTGGTCTGGGGAAGTGGCAGGAGTCTTTTCGAGACTGCTTCACGGCTCTTCTCCACCGACATGGTTAGGATTTCCATTGTCTCCGCTGCCCTTATTATCTCAGGTGCGCATCCACGGGTCTTCTGTATAGAATCACTACCTTTTAATACAGCATCCATATACTAAAGGCTTTTCAGCACGATAAGCATCGCCCTGACTGTCACCTCTCTCTATCTAATCCTCTGTTCCGAGTCCCTCAACGCACGCGTCTTCCGCACAGCCTTGTGCACTCGTGTGCAAGCAACCGTTCGACTAGCGATGTCCACGGCTAACATAGCTGTCGTGTCCAGCCTCCGCGATACAGCGAAGAGCTGGATCCGTCCTCCCCACAACTGCTTGCTCGGTGTGACGGCGGACGCCCCAGCCCCCGACCGGGTCACGAGCTCCGGCCAATTTCTAGCGAGACTCTTTCTTCTTCCGTCTTTGGAAACACGAATACCAAGAATCGCTACATAGCGGGCAATCAGTCGCCAGCTTGGGCAGTGGCACGGCCGTCGACTGGGTTGAAGTCGACGGAGACAGTCGACGACGCGCCCCTGGTACCCCCAAATGATTTTGTCCACAACTATTCAGGGAATAGAGGTATTCAAGTTGACACCCATTGCTTGCGTCGCAAACTCAAATTGTCGCCCACATGGGAGAGGAAGATCACAGCGACTGCTTGATCCAAATGTGCTCTTGCGTCATTGTTGTCTGCGATTGTGTGTCAGAATAAAGGAAAATATGCTCGCAAAGGACACGTGTAAGGTGAGTACACACGTTTACTAGGTCCTGTACGCTCATGGTTCATTAATCTCTGAACATTGTCGACATAATTCTACTCGCCTTCGGCCGATTTACCTCATGCCACCCGTGTGCCTGCTGTTTCCCTGCCACCGCTGACATACGAACCGTGACAGCACAACCTCTGAAGCAGTGGCAGGGAAACTAAGCGCGCGGTGACGCATCATCATGTAACATCTCATCTGCACTGATAAGGAGGGCAAGTCTAGCACCTGGAGTTAGATGGTCCCGGTAAAGTTCGCGGTGCCTCATTGACTCGGATAGGGTGCTGGTGTCGCGGGCGTCTCTTACCTCCCAGGGCGCCCATTTTACACCTACCACTCCTCATACCAGGCTTCTTGCGCCCCTTCGAAACACTACCATTCTTCTCATGCAGATGTAGTGTACTGCGTCTAGAGCCATTGTACTTGCTCGTCTGTGAGGTCCAGAGTTAGCGAAGCGCGGGTTGCCCTCACGGCCCCCCTTCATATGTCCGCAAAATTTTCGATCGTCCATCTTCAAAGGATACCAACCATTCGACTCGGATTCGAACTCCTCGAACACTGATTTTCATCGAGCTTCGTTCCGCGATATACGGCCCCGTCAAAGACGCCCGCATTCGCTTGCCTACCGGTGCCACAGCTGTTCGGTCTCCGCCATCTTCTTCGCCACTACATGGTATGTCCCGCGTACTTAAACTCCCGCCTCTTTGTCTTTCTGGTCCCCAGCTTCCGTTACGTCCTTCGAGAAATACGACCCGACCACCCTCAGCACGAAGACTCGGATGTCCTCCTTCACCCAAACTCCTCCCGCCTACCATAACATCAAGGCTACCAGCGCTTTGCCGGCGGATGGAAAATCCGCTCTGAACGCCTCGAAGCCGCCGCCGTGTACATCGACCACGCCGGTTCACATGCAGGCGACCCCTGTCTCGTCCATCATTGCGCCCAGCTCGCACACCGCTATGCCTCCCGGCTCCGGTGCGTTGCGTTGCGACCTATGCTCTAGTGCATAGCCTCACTGTGGTTCCGCACCTTCTAGGCGGCATGCCACCAGGCGGTGGACAGCAGCACCATACGAGTGCTTGGCCGGGCACAAATACCCAGAAGCCTGGTGGTACATCACAGGCCTCGCACTGGCGAGAACACTGAGTAGTAGGTGGCCCTACCTCGACTTAAACTTCCCGTGTCCTTCTTCACTTGCTTTTCGGCGTTATCCGTCGGTCATTATGTGTCCGCTACTCTTAGATATGTCCTTTACACAGGTTTCTTCTCTTGCATCGTTCGTGACACCTGAGTCGTACGAAATGGGCCATGCCTTCCTACCCCCGGCTTCTCAGCCCTCCCTCCCTCCCCCTATCTATTTTGGAGTCTTTATGCCCTCTCCCGCTCTGTTCCCAAGCCACCTGATTCAAATTTATGTTGACATCCAGTCCAACTTCTCTCATTTGGCTGGAGCCGAACGTAGTCTGCCATTCGTACCGCAGAACTCGTTTTTAGTGGTGTAGATAGCCCTAGATAGCTTTAGTAAATAGTCTTTGGCGGCAATGCTTGGGCTCGAAGCGGCCCGTCCACAGACGGGCGCCGTCATTTGATGATGAGGAAACGGGTGGCGGACATATGCAGCAAAGACTTCGCTTACGACAGCGCGAAAACGAGCAGTGATTATGGTCAGCATGACGGATTGAAGAGCTCACTAATTAGCACTTTGATTTTGGACAGAAAAGAAGACTGCCATGAAGTAAGAATTAGGCCATAGTGACGGGGCTCGCTGGAAATTGAACTCGAGACCTCCTGCAATGCACCATCCTTACGGTTGGGGGTTGGTCCGAAGTGGGGTTCATATTACTAGACCATTGAGCCGTAAATCTGCGCTACCTGTGGACCCCGTCACATACGGATAGAGAGCTGAGTGCTAGCTACCGTCGTTGGATGGCGTGTACGAGCAAGCCTACGGCCTGAGTCTGATCGCGGGGATGGATGGGTATTGCAGTCGAACTTCAGGGAAACTAGAGAACTGTAAGAGGAAATTATCTATTGTCTAAGAAGACGTGAACAGTCCCGAGAGAATTCGACGGGAACGTGGTGGTAAAACCTGAGGTCAAGGGACTGAGAAATAACCAAGGATGGGGCTATGGCCTTGGCTATGGCTGAAGTATCGCGAGTCGATCTTGTCGGTAAATTCGATTCTCTCCCAGTTTGCATCCGAAGCGGGAAAAAAGGTCACTAGCCCACCGCCGGGGTCGAACCGGCAGCCTTCAGATTGTACTCTAGCAGGTAACTTGTATCCGCCATAAGAGTCTGACGCTCTATCCGATTGAGCTAGGCGGGCATGTAGGAGACGCCAAGACGGCAGGTACGTGGCGCTGCCACAAGGCCGCGTCTGCTGCACCGTCGTAACAGGTTCAGAACGGCCATAGTGACGTACCGCGGGAGAGCCACAGGCTCTTGCTTTCACCTGCGACGAACAGCCGGGGGATACGGAGAGGTCGCTGCCGCCAAATAGACAACATTCGGCTTCTAAGGGACGGAACAAACTTGAGACAGGAACTAGATGAGCGAAATGGAAGCAAGGGGAAAGTACGGTATATTCTTTTACGCGGGGGAGAAGGGGATGATACACCCTGCCGCCCTTCATGTGTAGAGCTGTAGAGGCTGGCGGATCTACTATGTCGATATCGATGTCTTAGACTCAGAAATCCTCGAGGGTTAGCGTGAAAGAAAATAGGAGCGCCATACAGAACTATTCGAGTTTCATAGTCGTGGACAATCAGGGTATTTAGGTTTGTGCCAGTGCCAGCCAGGCGGAGGTCAAGAGCAAGCCCGAGGCGGAATTCGCCGGACGCGCGGGGTACTGTAAGGCACGTGCATTCGTATATCTGCGAACGGCAGCTCAAGCGCTTACGCGCTGACGGCCGGCTTCAAGCTGTCATTCAATCATCTCGATTTTTCACTGACCTTGGTCTGGCTTCCGCTGCTACGCGTGCGGCCTTGCTGAAAGATTAAGAACGTTCCTAATCTCCAAATAATGCTGCTAGTTGTCAACGGTCACGGTACTCAAGGCGCCGAATGCTTTCCACGCCTACTGAATTGCTTTCTGCACCATTGGCAGCCTATGCTCGGGCTAGACTTGACCTCCCCAGACACTTCCTTCGCAACGCATGTCATGCATGGAATTGTATGACAGGGAATCCACACGCGAACAAAAGTCGGAGCTAGAGGTCGGCGATTGTTATGCATGCCGTCGACAGTTCAGCTAATAGTCCGAGCTTAGACGTGCAATCTAGTCGCCGCCCCCTTCATCATCTCCCATCATGCCTTTCCCGCCGTTGCCCAGCTCGCACATACCATGGTCAAAGCGCCTGTCTCGCCGCTCACTGTCGCTGTCACTCCTTAGTCCGCGCACCACACCTCTACCGACACACGCCAGGGCGAGCAGTGTGTCGCCAGCACAAGTGGTGCGGACGTATCCCTCTACGCCAGTACTGAACGAGACTTTTGACACGACGCCGTTCTCGGTGGGGTCTGCTTTCGTCTGGGGAGCTTGGAAAAGCCTCATATCAGGTTTCATAGGAGTCGTTCTCAGCGTTGCTTCAGTTTTCGCCGTACAGGGATGATACATTCATGTTCGATCAACCCGCCGGCTCTAGCCCGGACATACTGAAGCGCAGCATGGGTGGTCCGCCGGCTGTCCGCGACGCCAGTTTCGTTGTAGAGGTGCCTTCGCGTGCTCCTGCATAGGCACGGGTGGGGCTGACGAAGTGCGCAGGCTGTTAGTAACATTCACGATATCGACAGTGAGTGGGATGACGACGATGTGGAAGTAAGCTAGCGTCTTGTCTATTTCCGGGGCTTTCCTGATGTAGAATAAACATTCTTCAGGAAGTCATGGTCATTTCTACAAAAGCAAAGGCCTCGCCCATAGCTGTCCCGTCGCTGCATTTAAGCCCAGAAAGCCACTTCAACTCTCCTTCTCTTACCGACACGCCGCGGTCGCAGCTCGCATCATCTGATTCGAACGGATACACGGTCCTCTGCACGCTTCAACGTACCGCGACGCGCACTGTCTTTCTTGCGGGCAGCCCTCGGTCCGGAGGCTTGGTCGTCATTCGGTCATATGCGCTACCGGTACCCCGCATGGCGCAAGCGGAGCGCGACGCACTCCGGAGGATCGCCGACGTCGATGCAGAGGGCGAAAGTCCATACCTCGAACGAATGATCTGCGCCTGGGAGGATGGACGCTCGGCCTACCTCGTCACGCCCCACCACGCTGGGGGTGATTTGTTGCGGTACATCAAAGAGGCAGGTGCCGTCGGGTACGCCCTCCTCAGAACTTGGGCTGCAGAGATTGTACGCCCTTTTCTTTGTGGATCCGACTGCTCGTTGACGGTGGGGAAAAGGCATGCGGGCTCGTTTCTCTCCAGGACCTCGGCATCGTACATGGCGCCGTCCGTCCGTCTGCGGTAATGATTCGCGCGGGTGGCCACATTGTCCTCGGCGGATTTGAGAATGCCTCGCACCTGACGAACGTCTCGACGGCTGTCAGCGACCGAGGGATCAGCAAAGAGTGGTACCACGCGCCCGAGTTGCTGCTCGGCTGGGAGGTCGGGCTGGAGGTCGACTGGTGGGGATATGGGATCGTGCTCGCGTGGATGGCGTGCGGCCAGGTTAGGGACTCGCCGCATTGCGAACATCGTGTTATTGACACCAGGCGAAGCACCCGTTTTGTCTGTCGTCCACCGAAAACGCACGGGGTGACACGATGAAAAAGCGGATCCTAGCCGGCACTGGGTCGAGCGTTGCCCTGAACGTCCTCGATGCGTCGCTCCGTGGGCTGATCAAGGGCGTAAGTCTCCTCCGGCTCTTCTAACTGCGTCTGGCTCCGCTCTGATCGCCCTCCTGGGCCACTAGTGCTTGGAGCGAAATCCAGCGAAGCGTCTTGGCTTTATCGGAGTGTGCGAGCACCCCGTATTTGCCGATCTGTGGGTTAATCTTCCCGTTTCGAGCGGTCGATAGCTCATGGCTGAACCAGCGACTGGGGTACGTTGATGAACTGTCCCGGATCAGGCAAGTGACCTGCCTTTCCTGGACTCATTTGGCCTTTCTTTCTGACAAGCTTGCTCGTTCTACGCTCTCGTCTAGACCTTTCCATGTCGCCTCCGTGCCCGACATACCCGACTCGGACGATGCCGCCGTCCGATCAGCCGACGGTCCTGGTCCCGCCCGTCCTCCCGAACCATCCCGAAGTCTCGCTCCATCCATCCTGCGTCGCCCTGCCCCCTTCTCCGGATCCTCCCGCACCCCGCCTGCACCCTGGCCACAGACACAAACGCTCCGTCTCGCGCGCGACAACTGCTTCGGCAGCCAGCACCGTCGGCGACGCCGTCCTCGCCCGCGCAACGCGCACGCGCCTGCCTGCCGCCCGGCCGTTCTCCGTCGCGCTCAGTCCGCAGGCGCAGAGTCCTCCGCTGACGCCGCTGCTCTCGCCGCCCTCGAACGTCGATACGCCGGCGACGACGCCGCTCCCGCACGCGCCCTGCGCCTTCTCTCCCGCAGATTGCTCGCCCGCTCTGTCCTCGGCGCCCGACTCTCCACTGCCACTGTCGCTCGCGCTCTCCTCGGTCATCGGTTCGCCCGACTTCACCTCGTCGCCCGTCTGCGCGCGTCCGCCGAACCCGTGCCCGCCCTCGACGGCGGACCTCGCGCACTCGTCCGAACAGAGCCCCGGCGCAGCGGACGCGAGCATGCTAACCGTGCGTCCGGCACCAGCCGGCCTCGGGCTCACGCACCTCGACATCGACGGCACGTACTGCGTCGGCGTCGACGAGTTCGGCGTCCTGAGGCCCGACGCGGTGCCGCCGCTTCCCTCCCCAATCAACGGGAAGGGCCTGCTCGGCCCCAAGCTGCCGACACCCGTCCTCGCCACTGGTACTGCCTCCGGTACACCCCTGCTCGTCACCGCCGCCGGGAGCCCCATCCTCGCGAGCGCCAGCCCATCCGACGCATCCCTGCGCACCCGCGTCCGCGACCGACTGCGCAAGGGCCGGCGCGAGGCCGCCGTCATCTCGCCCGCCAAGCCGTCGCGAGCGGGAAACGACACCGGCGACGGCGTGCCGCACGACTTTTCGGACGTCGAGATCGCGGTGCCGGAAATCGAGTGCGACGACGACGACGACGACGACGATGACGACCCGTTCCGCGCGTCGGGCGCGTCGGTTATCCCGCCGTCGCCTGTGCCTCCGCTCGCGCGGGGAGGACAGGAACAAGTGCTGAGCGCACGCAGACGCGCGCCGTCGTTCCGCTGGAGCGCGCTGTCTCTCGACGACGCGCCGGACGCTGCGCTCGCGCTCGCGCTCGACGCGGGCGTCGGGCGCAAGATCCGGCGAGGTGGGCAGGCGCTCCTGCGCAAGTCGCAGAACTCGCTGCGCGCGCGTCTCGGTCGAGGGAGCGCGCGCGCGGACGAGGACGTGCAGGGTGTGCGGCAGATGGGGCGCGGGATCGGCTTTGTGCGTCCGCCACCGGTGCCGGTTCCGGGCGTGAATGTGTATGTGCCGAAGGGGGAGCGCGAGGGCGCGGTGCAGGGGTGTTATGCGGGTTTCATGGCTCGCAAGCGCAGCGAGCGGAAGATGCGGAAGGGGGTCGCGGCGGCGACGTTGGCTGCGGAGAGCGCGCGGACGTCGGACGTTGTGGAGGATGAGACGGTCGAGGTGGCCGTCGCGGCGTCTGGGACGCTGTGAGCGAGCCCGTTCTGGTTTCCCCCTTCACTCCCGTCGCGCCGGACGCCGGTTCTCGTCACGCGTGTTGTTATTCTGTTGTAGACTGACTTCTCGAAGGATACCCGCCGAGCGCGCTGACAATATATTCTCGCTCTCGTACTCAGTGTAGCGTTCTCGTACTCGTACAGCATTTTTTTTTTCTCGCGATACCTGCCCCTCCCCCTCCTATTTGCCACGTATACCGTACATCCGTGTCTCACACGTCCAGTCGCACGTACACGTGCGGGCGAACCCCTGCCCGAGACGCTCGGAGCGGAAACTGCTTAAACGAGCGAGCCGAGCGACGGCGGAAGCATATTATGATGTGGTCTTCGTGCGCACGACGCATTCCTTTCCTTCGCGACCGTCGCGTCGTGCGTGTCGCAGAGGCGGAGGTGGTCTCAGGCGTGGAGGCAAACGCAGCAGACGCGCCGAGGGTCGGCGGGTAGCTGCGGACGTCGGACGCTGGGAGGAATATGTCGGACGGGCGATCGGCTCGCGTGCGGTCGAGAGTTGCGCCGGGGGATGGCTGTTATGTCCGCGCGCGCGCGCGTCATAGGTAGAGCCGGACATAGAA